TGAGCTGCGAAATCCGCCAGAATAGCACGAATTCGATCCTCGATGCGAGGAAACACATACGTTTCCTGTTGAAGTCGAGCAACAAGATTGTGTACATCTTTCATCTACGGCACCACGGTTGTGTTCTCCGTTATGTACTCGAGAATTCTTTTCCGGTTGGCCCCAGCCCGGTGAAGAGTATTGACTGTTGCAGCGACATCGTCGTCCGATACGACTCGAGCTTCATGATAGGTCTGATACGCCTCGCTACCGACAACATGATTGTGGCCAGATATCTGCTTCGTTATACGAACTTCCCAGTTGCCGGTTTCTTGAACACAAGCATTTATCTATATCAAAATAAAATCCAATTAACATGTACACGATGAGTCATTGAAAATACCAATGCGTCCACCCACCTGTGCATTGCAGCCGATCTTTCTTGAGTTTTGCTGTGGCCGAGTTCCTCGGCTTCGATTATGAAGTGGGTCCCCGTGGTGAGTGCAAACGTAGGTCTTGTTATAGAACTGTACTTCTTCAGGAATTAACGTGTAGTCCGACTTGTTTTCTTTGATGCGTTGGTTGCGTTTGCGGACAGGAGTGTTTGTACGAACCGAATAGATCTAGACCGGCCAGGAAATACAGCGTTAGCAAACACAATATAAGTCCTGCCACACTCTAAACATCGTGCACAGTCTCTAAGTGTGACACAGTCCTGTCCGTATTGCACGTACCTGAAATGTCCGTCTGCTATAGGTCTTCAGATACGCCTCCAGAACATCCCAGCTCTCGAACACCTTCCGGTCAAGCTCCGGTGTGTACACTAGCTCGTCTAGTACAGCAATCTCGCATCCATCGTTTTCTGCGTCTTCAACAGCTGGACCCTTGCCACTCGTGGATCCTAACTCGAGTGCCTCGCTACCGCTGTCAGGTAATTCGGAGAGCGCAAAGGGTGGTCGTTCACTGTAGGTGTTTGATTAAGCGAAGAGTCTATGATATCTATGTTTTGGCCGCTTGACGTACGCGCATCGACTACTCGCCTGTGATCGCTTCTTGTGTGTAGTTCTCTCTCGTTTCCCTTTCCGGACAAACCTCGACTTCTTTGCGTGTAACCCCCTGTCACTGTTGTCACTGCTACAGCTTCTAGAGCTGGTTGGGCTACTGACCTCCCAGAGACCACTCGACTGGCTGCCATCGTCGCTGTCATCTGGCATGCTGGAAATGCTGGATGGTCGGCCCGGCATCTTCGTGGTTAAGCTTGCCGCCGCGATTGAGGGTCGCTAAATTTGGAATTGGGAGGGGAGAAATCCTCACCATAGGATTCCACAACCAAGAGTGAATGCCGTGGTTAGAACCGGCGTAGGATTAGATTAGAGATGGTGAGTGGATACATCGTACAACTGTTGCACTTTTTAATTACTGTGTACGAAGACACTCTC